TAATAAAAATATAAAAAAAATAATCCAATTTTTTTACCAAAATACCCCCAAAATTTTATAGGGGTATTTTTGTCAATTTTTTCATGTAAAATATTTTTTTTATATTTTTTGAAGATTTATCTATTTTTTATGTATACACACTCTAAAGTTTAGATCATTCCGATCTGTAAAAAAAAATTAAAATTTAAATACTATTGGACATCCATGATCATCAGATCGGTCTAGATTCATTATGGACCGTTGGCGTTTACTGTAGCATTATGCCATTGGGCTGACATAATATTTTCCAGATATAGTTAGCCTTTAGATTGACTACTATAGTGTGAGCCAGTGACCCAGATTGAATCTAGGCTGATCTGACGATTATGACCTCATTTCATACTTAAATTTTTTTTTTGGTTGAAATTGAAGTTACATCCTAAAAATCAGGGTCTTAAATATACAACTAATAGTCTTTGATAGGATTTTAGAACATGTACAATAAAGCTCTTGTTCTTTCTTTGCTTATTTAAAAGAGTCCAAAGATTCTATGCTCCCGAGGGAGTATTTCCACCATTCACTCCCATTGGTAAACTCAATATAAGAGTTATTTTAGGACTCTAACCATTTGGGAATGTCATCTATTCAACCTAGTACCAAGCTTAAAAAAAAAAAATTGAAATCCATTCTATTTGTGCCAAGAAAACAAGGTCCTAATATTGAACATGGATCATCTAATATTTTAATAATGGGATCTAAGTATTTAAGAATTAAAAATGAGTTTTATTTTTTAATAAAACTCATAAACTGAATTTATTCTAAAAATTTTGATCAAAAGGATCGTTCAGCCTGGCCCTTTCACCCGAGGGAGCAAATCTACAATATGACCTATTGGGAGCATGTTGCACGCGCTCAGAAAAGATTGTTCCCTCTTGTAGCGTTGACTGCGCCTCTCAAAAATGAAATATTTCACTAACGCAATACTGTTTCGAAAATTTTGATCCAATTTGCCTCTTCAATTGGTAACCACCTCTTCTTTAACCTAAATTCTCTTATTATTTGAATAAATTTTCTCTTATTTGAAGTTTTGAACCACTGTTTATTTTTACCCCATCTCTTCCCTTCCTCACTAGTTCATGCTCAAGTTCTTGAATCTAGCCATTGAGGCGGTAGGTTTAAACTCCAACCAGTTAAGGGCATGTTTGGTTCAAAATAAACAGATGGGTAAAGGCGTTAAGAAAGCAGGAGTTCTTTACCACTACCCTTGCCCTGATGGAGCTTTTGCAGCTCTTGCTGCTTACCTTTATTTCTCTTCCACCTCTCAATCTGCCCTTTTCTTTCCCAATCGTGTTTATGATCCCATTAGGTGATCTCTCTCTCTCTAAAGTGCAATACCTATGAAAATCTCTCTCTCTCTCTCTCTCTCTCTCTCTCTCTCTGCAGATTTCATATTACGGTTTCTTAATTGTGATTTTATTATTATGCGAAATAATTTCTTCTCCTATGGATTGAGTTGGAGCCATAAGTTTATTTGGTTGATTTTCTATTGTTATGGACAATTCAATTTGTATTTATAAAATCTATGTTCCCTTCGTAGATTTTTTTTTTGTGGCAAGGATAGAGAGGAATGGAACTTGAGACGTAGTGCCCAACTCCTACCGCCTTGGCCCAAGCCCAATTCCTGTTCCTTCATAGATTATTGATTATGAATTAATTTTTTTTTTTTCAAAAATCTAGAATTTTTTTGAGAATGGAAAATTTACTAGAATTCTTGGACTTAGTTTCTTACTTTATAAATAAAAATAGGGTTCCAACTATATCGCCTTATGAAATTAAAATTTTGAATTTCCTACTTGTTGTGCTATGTGGAAAAAGACATTTGTAAATCAAAAGTTTTTTAACATTTTCTGTCACTGCAAAGTTGCAATAATACCTGATTTTTTCTCTAGCTGAGTTATTTGGGATATATTATTTTAAAAAAAATTAATAACTGAGATAATTTTATTTGGGATAATGTTGCTATAATTTTACTAAAGATGTGAACTTTGGTTGTCAGGGTTGAAGATCTTCCATTGGAGGACCTTGATGATATTTACCTTCTGGATTTTGTGGGTCCTGCCGGATTTGTTAAGGACATCTTCTCAAAAGTAAAAAGGTTTTAATTTTCTTATCAATTATTATTTTTTCCTCTTTTTTTTATTTTTATAATTTATGTTGTTATTTATATTCTTTGTTCTATTTATTGCCTTGTCGGTTTTGAAGGTTAGCTTTGCTTTAGAGTTTATTATTGTGTGGCATGTTTTTGGTTGCTTGGTTATCTTCTATGCTGCTTATCAAAATTAATATATTTTTCATAATAGATGGTCAATTATCTCATTCTATTAGCTCCGTTCCGTTGGTCTTTAGAATATTGGTTTGCCTACCCTCCTTGTTTTTGTTCAGCTAATTTTTTTATGGGTTCATAAACTTAATTATAGACATTGTTTCAATGAATATTGGGACTTAATGGACCTGACTACTTTCATATTTGCAGTGTCATTATCTTAGACCATCACAAGACTGCACTTGAAATGTTCTCTGAGAGTAATTTTGTCGCGAATAATCTTACCAAGATCATAGATATGAAGAGGAGTGGTGCTACTATTGCTTATGATTTCTTTGAGAAGAAGATTTTGTCCGAATCCAACATTGAAAGTACTGTTTTGTGGAGAGAAATCGACAGTAGAGATGCATTGGTATCCAAAAGTGAAGTAGAAAGAGTTAAACAACTATTTAAATACATTGAAGATGCAGACTTATGGAGGTGGGCTCTTCCTGATAGCAAAGAATTCAGCAGCGGGCTCAAAGATATCATCAGAGAGTTTAGTGTTGACTTGAACCCATCCTTATTCGAACAGGTTATCCATCTTTATCAGCTTTTCATGTTGGTGTGGTAATGAGAGATTCACTTGTTTATATTGTTATTTGTTGTTCTCATGACTTCTACATTGTACCTTCATGTTTTTGAACAGTTATTGGCTCTAGAACCTCATCATGTGATTAGTCAAGGTCGGATGAGCTTAGCAAGTAAGCAAAAATTAATAGATGAAATTCTTCTAACATCCTATGAGATTGCACTTGGGGGTGGAAAATTTGGACAGTGTCTGGTGAGTTCTACCATCTTTCCATGGATTTAACCTAGTTCTTGGCCTTTATTGCTCTTGAAATTTCATGAATGTTTATACAATAAAATATAATTAGCATTGTTTAGGTATCACCATGCAAGCATATCTTTAGTTTCACTGTAATTCCAAAAAGTTTGGCTTACATCCTATTAACCACTATGTCTTTTATTATGGGAAGATTGTTAAGTCAGCTGAAACTTAACCCATGCAGAGTGAGTATATTTGGTGAACTTTCATTATATCTGTCTAGCTAAATAGAACTTATCATTTTTCAGTCATACTTTGCTCTTCCCTCTATTAGACATATGCACAAGTATATTTATGATATATATAAATTTGTTGTCCCCTAGCTCAACATCTGATATGGTATTATCAGAGCAGTAGCATGTGACCCATGGTTTCATGTCTCCTTGTTCATCACAGGTTCCATCATTATAGCTTCAATTCCTCTTTCTCCAAGTCACAATCTCTTCATGTTCCCTTTCTTGTGTTACTACAAACTCATGATATGAGCTTGATTGTTTGATTTCATGGCCTAGTTTCCTGCAAAGCTGCAAAACCATCTTCTATTTTTGTTAGATTTATGTAGTGTGATATTCATCAGACAAGGCTTAGCTGTCCTGTAGTTAGTCTTCTCTTGGTGTCGTAAAAATTGTGTCACTTAAGGGGAAAAGGATGCGGTTGTTTTAATCTACCTATCATCTAGGTTATGGAGTTCTGGCATGGCTCATCTTGTTCATTCCAAATCCTGAACAATCCAAACTGGTCCAAACAGTCAGTCAAACCAAGAATAAATTTAGCATAAAAATAAAGGAAACCATAAAAATAAAGAATGCCAAAAGAATATGAAAACATGTTTTAGAAAATGAGAAATTCATTCTGTGTGTGTGTGTGTGTGTGTGTGTGTGTGTTTTTTTTTTTGGTTTTGGGTGCTCCAATGGACAGGACCAATGGATCCTTTACTCTAGGGGACTTCACTGCCTCAAATATGATATTTTAGCCTTCATCATTTATCCTCGCTAAATTAAATCCTTGATGCTCTCTGCTTTATATGCTTCCCTTATATTTTCCCAAGATATGATACTCATTTTGATTAGCTCTTCCCAATTTATCTCCTTGAAAAAGCGAAAAAAATTCTAATACCACAACCTTGAAAAAATTGCCCATGGATATTCCTCTATACAGAACAACTCTGCTTTATAAAGGTGTCCAAAGACGGGTGAAAATAAATACCTCATGCCCTTGGTATCCATGAGATATCGAAAGTTGCTACTAGGAAGGCCCAAACACCATTGATAAGTAGGTGCTCCATCATCTCATCTTCACTCTTCTTGAGTTTGAGCTTTTCCCATCCATCCCCACATGCTTGCACAATATA